CTCATGGGAATAAACTTCAAGTTGCCTTCCAGTTCTCAGCTAAACTGTTAAGTACAACTGTAAGTGGCAATATTTGGGGTAGACGGGAGAATCAAGGTGAGGGTATCAAGCCTGACATCTGGGCTTAAGATGAGGTACAGATAAAGGAATCACTATAATAGAAATAATGAAATTCTGAGCTTAGGAGCTTCTAGATTTGGAGGAGGAGGTGACCGGGGAGTTATTTAGGGTTTGGCTGATAGAAATCCCGGTGAAGGTGTCAGTCTTTCCACGGATTGAGTGATGCAGAGGTTGCAGTTAACCTGAGCGCACCCGGATGGATTACAGGTAAATGGCATCCGGAGGCATCCAGCTGCTGGGGAGCTCATTCATTTTTCTCCATTGCTGCTTGAATTTGGAACTTTTATAGGCCTTTCCACTTCTCCAAGTGGCAGTGTAATGCGGTGTTTGTAGCCGGGTGTAAGGTGCCAACCAGCTGAGGTGTGAACCCCAGTTCTACAGTCCAGCTGCACGGCTGTAACCACTACACCTGCCACACCTCCCTTTCCTCGCCCGAGAGTAGGAGATACTAGAGTCTCCAACTTCTGTGGCCGATGTTGGCAGGCAGATTACTTAAGACGTTGGCAGTAGAGCTTGGCAGAAGGAAAACACGGTGTAGTTAGCTACTTCTTTTATTTCTCTGTTGAGAAAGGAAACCATTGCTAGACACAGATCTTAGGCATATGACTTTCTTGTTTAATAGATGCAAAGACAGAATGCCCCTCCCTTTTCACAGTGCGGACCCTGAGGGTTCTAGAGCCGTGGCAGTGTTCTGAGACTCTATGCCAAGGGCCAGGTTCCACCCTCCCCTCGCTAACTCGGGAGAGCACCAGATTGGGGAGCAACCCTGAAGGCACTGGAGATTCTCTTGAGTTTAGGATTATTTTCATCGGAAGCTTAAAGGGTGTAGGCACAGGGTGTGCCTGCTTCCTTCTGTGACGATAAGCCCTCCTCATCCTCACCTCCTCCTTTCCCCTAAACGGCTGCTGGGCTCTGGCTTAGAACTGGACGTGATACTGGGGTGTGCTGGCATGTGGTTATAAGAGGCACGTTTAAGAGGAGGGAACGTGTCTCAATGGTCCGGGTTCGAGAACCAAGTAAAGTCTACTTTTTGAAAGTTCAGCAAAGGGAAAACCAGTGGCTTCTCTTTCCAAGATGGGCTGCCCTCAGAGGGCACGAGGTGTGTCTGAGGTCGGACAAGGAAGGGAGGACAGTGTGTTCTTAGCTGCCAGCCGACACCAGGCATTGCAGCTCAGATCTAGGCTCAGAACCATCACCGAGGCCAGGCCTAGATCCTCACCATCTGAGCCATCTTAGAGCTGCCCTCAACTGTGTACAGCGCACAAGCCTTTTCAAATCCCTGTCCATCATTCTGCCTGTAAGCGTGAGAGAGGGCCGTGTGGGTAAAAGGTTTTAGGACTACATCTCTGCTACTGGGTCAGACCCTCATGGGTAAGATACTATTTGATACTAATAACTGGAGTAATCTGAGATGAGACAATGAGGGAAAAGTGAAAAATATGTTTTTCTCTCCTTCCCTTCTCTCCTGTACAACAGAACGAATCCTGTTTAGAGAACACTTCGGTACCCTGAGGGGTTGGTTGCTGTCATATCAAATTTTTCTCCTACCCTCAGTGACCTAACTGGGTCACAGACCAGCACAAAGGAACAGCAGGAACTTAGGGGCTAGGAGGTGATCTGATTATTTTAGTCAAAAACTTGTGTGTGTTGGGCTGGAGAGATGGCTCAGAGGTTAAGAGCACTGACTGCTTTTCCAGAGGTCCTGAGTTCAATTCCCGGCAACCACATGGTGGCTCACAACCATCTATAATGAGATCTGATGTCCTCTTCTGGTGTACAGGAAAGCATGCTGTATATAACCAATAAATAAATCTTTAAAAAAAAAAACTTGTGTGTCTTTAGTGTTTCTGTGCTCCAAGGTGGCAACAGATCTGATTCTCTCCAGAGAATTATTTTATAGTTATACCAATAGTAGTTGCAGGCTTTGGCTGCTGGTTAGCAATCCTCTCATATAAGCAGCCCCTCCTACATGTTGTGACTGTGGCTAGGAGTCTCAGCCTGCTGTCTGTCAGTCCTTGGGAACCAAAGTCAAAAATCTAGGTCCAGATGGGGAATTTATTTTTTTTTTCAGATTCCCCATAAAACCAAGCCATTTGTTCATGAAAGTGTGTTTTAACTACAGCCACTGACCTTTTAAAATCCCCCAGTTCCAAGACACATTTAATTCTTTAATGTATACAAGCTCCCATTCAACTATGATATTGTCTAGATAAGATCAGGAATTGATTTTTAGATAAATTCTGCATCTCCCCCCCCGCCCAGAACAGACAAAAATGTTTATTTTTACTTAGCTTCAACTTCCACAATCTCCACATTTTCCCTTGCAGACTTCTATTGTGATAGTGTCTTTGTACCAGCTGGGTGCAAATTTCGCTTCCAGTGCCCCCTCCCCCAGCTGTCTGGGGAAGCGCTGTGGGGTAGCTATGTTTCCGGCCAGACTACCTAGGCAGGAATACTAATTGGTGTCGTTGGGCAGGTTACTTCTCTCTGCCTCCATGCCCCCATCTGTAGAAGGAAGATAACAATGACATCTACTTGATTAGGTTGTTGTAATACTGATTGCTATATGCCAAACATTTAATTTGCTGCCTTGTGTATAGTAAGAACTTCGGATGTTAGGTAACGTCTTGTCCCATTCATGGTACCTACAAGCCCACTCCTTGAGGGATGAGGAATTTATTATTTAGGCAAAGCCAATCTGACTTCTCCTTTCTACCCTGTAATTGACCTGACAGGCAGAGTGTATGTTGAAAGAAGAGGAACCATGTCACCTGGGTACAGAAGTAGGGAGTACCTTTGCTCCCCAGCACTGCCTTACTCTTTCAGAAGAATCTACTGAATATCACAATGTGCCAGGCCCTGCTCTAGACCCTGATTGTAGAGCAATCAACAAGACAACTCGGGGTTTTTCTGTCTTGAGCTTGCATCACCGAGACACCACAAAGTTTAGCATTCTATGAGGTTTCTCATCAGTTGAATCTCTTTCAGTACAACACATTAGAATAATGATTCTTCCATCCCTTAGTAACCATAACACACTGAGGCACCCTGTAACTCACAGAGAGAGCATGCTAGTCTCCTAGTTCTGGTGACGTGCAGAGGCCACTACATTTGAACACTATTTTGAAAGAAGATAATCCACATAGCAGTAAGATGCAGTTTTCTTAAGTATTTAAACTAAATGACCTGTTCTGAACCACACTGAGACCCCAAACCCTTCTTTTATTTTACTTTTTGTTGTTGTTGTTGTAAATAGTGTTGCATGTATCTCGGGTGGGTCTTGAACTCCGTGTAGTTTGATCTCCTTCTCCTCCCACTCTATCTCCTGAGAGCTGGAATACGCAAGCATGTATGTAGTGTTAGGAATTGAATCCAGGGCTTTGTGCATCTAGGCAAGCACCCAACCCTTCTGAGCCCCAGCCCTTCAAACCCTTCAACTAAGACAATTGCAGTGTTGGGTTTCATTTTACTTTTGTTTTTTCAGTGTGTCTTTTCTAAGTCTCTGGATTCTTTGGGAAGTAATCTTGGCAAAGTATTCCCCTATCAAGAGAGTACTAGCACCTACTCTTTCAACTACAATTACTAATGGCTAATGCGTGATGCATGTCCCACTGATGATGCTGCCTGATCATCTGTCAGTCTCGAGGCAGGAAGGACAGGTCAGGGTGAAGGGAGGAGCCATCTTTGTTACTTGAGATCTGCCCAAGCCTTCCCTGGGCCTGGTTTGGAGGCTGTTCTCTGACCCTCAAAGGAAAGTACTCCCCACTCCTCACAGTCTCTCAACTTTTTTGAAATGGACCTGATGGGGTGGAACTCTCTAAGATTTTTCTAGTAATAATACTTGCAGAATTCTTGGACTGTAATCTGGGAAAAGTTTGAGAGTGATCCTGTTTTGGCCTCATAGAATCCATTTGCTAAGAAGAAAAAAAAAAGCCAGGAATCTCAGTGTTTTGATGTAGGTTTCTACGTGCACACCATGTACATACGTGCCTCAAGTGTACCTATGTATCAGTACATGCATGGATGCGTACTGATGGCACCATCCTGTCTGCCCTAATGTCTGGTTCACACATGCATACACACACACACACACATACACACACATGCACATATACACACACATACACCATCTACACAATGCATCACGTATACCTATGTGTCAATACACACATCACACATGCTGATGGCAGCATACCTGTCTGCCCTGGCCTCTGAACTCTCAAAGAAGAAATTAAAACACTGAACTCCCTTTGTCTGAGGGAGACAAAACAGGAACAGTGGCTTTCACTGGAGGACAAGGAGAAAGGAAGAAAATACGGGAAAGGGACACGAGTGGTAGGGAAAGAAAATTTATTTCCAAGCTTTTAAGAGAATATTACAAATAACAGAGAGTTTTAAAAAACCCTAAAAACTAGTTTAAAAAAGTACTTGACAGTGTCCATGTAATACCCAAGGATGGTGTGTCCATTGTGCAATGACGGTAAGAAACTCTGCAGGTGACCACCCAGTGGCCTTGCCCGGCAGGGTCCCAGATCACATCCCAGATCACACAGATGGGCTCCTAAGACAGTGCCCCCTGACTGGCTCCTTCTTGTGCTTGGCTGCACAAGACGGACCAAGGCGCACATAGCACTGAGCACAAGACAAACTGCCTCTTTAAGGAGGGTACCGGTGCCAAGTCACCAGGAATACTTAGATTGGTGTTCACTCCTTCCTTGAGATAACACAAGCCAGCATTACCCCACACTGCAGAACCAGGTAACAGGGTCTGTGTGTGTATGTGCATGTGTGTGTGCATGTGTGTATGTATGTGTGCATATGCACGTGTGCATGTGTATGTGTGCATGTTTGTATGCATGTGAATGTGTGCGTGCGTGCGTATGTGTGTGTGTATGTCTGTATGTGCACGTGTGTGTCTGCAGTTATAAATGCCAAGGTCAAAAGGACATGGTACTACATTATCCTGGTTGTGGGTAGGGCTCAGTAATGGGACAAATTATCCCTGGCCTGACATTTGAAGGTTAATCCACAGCAGCAGATGTGTGCTTCAGATACTCATGAGAAGTCCATACTTCCTTATGAACACACACACACACACACATATGCACGCATGTGTGTATGTGTGTGAGTCCTCCATCCTGTAAACATCTTTGAACCAAATCACCATAAAACAAACAGGGAACAGAAGATACCCATCTCTAAACCTCAGCTGCCTTTGAGCTCACAGGACACTTGTAGTGACAGCTGGGAAAGTTCTCTCTGAGGGAGGCAGCCCCTTCTCTCTGGCCAGGCATTTCAATAGCTCCCTTCCTGAACCGTCTTTTGGGGGTCCACAAAGCCATTTGAGTCATTGGAACTTTGCAGAGTGCAGAGGCCCCCACCAAGCAGGGTAGGGGGACAAGCTCACAAGGTCCCACTTTCTCCCTTGGGGCACCCAGTGCTGGGAAGCATCACCCAGGGAGAAGCAAACCCAAGGCTGACAGAGAGGTGTGGATTACAAAAGCCCTTCCCTGGGTGGCCTTTGCCTTTTCTCTTTGTTGCCCTTTCTCCCACAGGTACAGCAGGTACCTCAGGTCCCGGCCACCATTTTCTGCCCAACCTTTCCTGGCTGCCTTGCTACTTGTCACTCTCCCGGGAGGAGTGTTTCCTTGGGGCAGGTTCTGTTTGTCCCACCCACTGTTGTGGAGTTTGCGTTGGTTTTCCCTTGCTGTGAAACCAACAGGCTCCAGCCGGCAGTCACCCCTTTGCTCCCCTCTGCTCCAGTTCCCTCGAGGCCCACCACCCACTGCTGGATTTCTGCCTCCCATCCCTGCTCCCTGGGCTTCTCCTGGCCCAGCCTCTTTCCTGCGGTGTGGTGTGTGCGGTCTCAGCCTTCCTCCCAGGTCTCCTTTCACACCGTGGTGACTCTCATGACGAGTTCTCGGCTGCTGCCCTGCGCGCTCCGCGGTTCATGAGGTCTCAAGTGACTCAGGATGTGCAGAATGGTGTAAGCACAGTGGTGTTGGGACACAGGGCCCGGGGGATGGCTGGCGGCCCTGGTGGGACCCTCCTCACGGGCAGGGGGGCTGGCTGCCTCCTCTTCCGTGGAGGGGATATTGGCTTGGGTTGATGAGGAAGTCCGTAGGTTTGTCCTGCCTCCTGATTTTTGATCCTCTAAGTCCTTTGTCTTGTCATAGTTCAGCACTTTCCACTGCTGGTTGACAGCCTGCCAGCGCTTAAAGATGCGATATACTGAGGGTCCTTCGTGGATGATGAGACCTAGCAGGAAGAGAAGACAACGGCTAAGCACAGAGGGCCAGCGGTTGTAGGCGAATGCCACTACTTCCTTGACTTACACACACACACACACACACACACACACACACACACACACACACACGCACACACTGAAGACCTGCTGTTTCACCCTATTGATTTTATCCCAAATTTGCCTTCCAGCTCTGAGCCACTTGGCTTCAGAGCCCCTCTGAGCCCCTGGGCTCCCGTGAGTCACCAGAAGGAAGAAGGTCACGACATAGGCAGGATCTGCCTGAAACGCCTCCTCCTCCTCCTGCTCCATCCTGCCCCCTTCTTGGCTTGACACCATCAGGTTCTTCAGTTAAGTCATCATGTAGATATTTTTCCTCGCTGTATTATGTATTCTCGACACCCTGTGCTTAGCAGGTGTTGAATGAACCGTGCACCTTTAAAAGGCAACCTAAGTGAAATCCTGTGGTCAGTCCAATCCTGCTGAATGACCGACACCTGAAACTTCACTTGTTGGCTCTTTGCATAGCCTATGCTACTGAAAGACAAATCCTTCTGGCAGAGCAAACATTCCTGAAGTTATATTGGCCAAATGAAGAGGGAGCCAGTGCAAACAAACCTCACCCAGCAGGCCACACACAAACGAGCTGCACACAAGGCAACAAGGCAAATGGCTATCAACTGGAGGCCTGGCAAAGCACTTGGGACCCTGCAGGGCCCGAGACAGGAAATCAGGAAGTCTTGTCCTTAGAGAACTTACATTTAAGTGAGGAGGCACATATAAGTCATGCAAACAAACCAACCAGATTCTTTTCCTGTGCGGGCACATGCTGGGAGGAAGATGGAATGGGGTTAAATAGCCCTTGACTGTAGGCACTTGGGTCTTGTCTTAGCAAGACGGAAGAGAAAAGCCATGGCACCGAGGCCGGCATGCCTAGCACAGCACACGCTGTGGATGCGGAGAGAGGAGGACAAGGTGGGAAGAGTTCCAGCTCTGAGCGGGTCTTAGATTTTACCCAGTACGAACTGCTATCCCCTGAGGGGATTTAGAAGGAGGAATGGCGTTGACACGTTTGCTCTTAAGGACATTCACTGGTGTTCCCAAAGGGGCAAGAATAGAAATCTAAAATTACGCAGGAAGCGACACCCTAATTGAAGCTGAAAACGGTGGCCAGGGCTAGGGACTCGGCAGTGGAGGAAGTGAGATGCCTCGTGAGGCAAACTTGGGGTTGCAGGTGGAGCAGACAGATTTGCTGATAAGTGAGCTGTGGAACCAGGGAAGCATCTGAATAACTGCCCTAGCCGGGTGATGAGGGTGCCATTCGCGGAGATGTAGCTAGTCCCAGGGCTGGCATGGTGGATGGTGGTGGATGGTGGCTGGCATGGTTGGATGGTGGTGGTGACGATTGGTTCCCTCTGGCTGCCACAGAACGTGTCCAGAAGGTAATAGGTGGCCTGAGGTGCCATAAATACATTCTCTTACAGTTCTGGGGTCAGGCGCATGGGCTTCTGTGGCATGTCATCAGGGTCTACTCTTCTGAAAGGATTGAGGGGAGAGTTTTTCCTTATACTTTTTCAACTTCTAGAAGCAGTTACTGTTTCTCCCTTTTACACCACTTCTCCCTCTTTCTTCCGTTGTCACATCTATTCATCTTCTGTAATCAGATTCTTTTCTTTGATTCTCTCTCACAAGAACTCTTGTGATTACTTGGAGGGCCTACCCAAATAAGTCAGGATAATTTCCTCACTTCAAGATATTCAAATTAACCTTTTCCTCCATTTATTTATTTATTTATATTTTTTATTTTTTGTGACGCCCTGTTACAAAAGGTCAACAGTTTCAGAATGAGGCCCAGAGTGTCTTGTGTTAGTTGTGGATGTCTGCTAAAAAAAAAAAAAAAAAAAAAAAAAATCTAACTGGTAGACCACAGGCAATGGTCTAAATGAAGCTGAAGTCTGGGCCAGGGACAGACTTAGGGAACAGACACAGTGCTGTGCTCTTTAATGCTCAGATTTCCCATAAGTTAGTATTGGAAATGGGGGCGTTTACAAGGTAACTAGGCCATGAGAACTCACTCCTCACGAACAGATTACACGTTTACAAAGAGCTTGCACAGGTAGTTGGTTCTCACGTGTCCTATTTTGTCTATGGGGACATGACCCAGTGGGCCAAGTGCTTGCTACGCCTGACCTAAGTTTGCACCCCCAGAACCCACTCAGGGTCTTCCCGCTTGCAAGCCAAACAGTTTGCTGAGTGCTCTGATATACACCCTCCCAAGTATGTTTTAGCATCCCCTTTCTTACCCTGAAGTAAAGTTCATAAGATATTAAGAGCTTACTATGTGGTTTTAAATTAATGGAATGCCTTAATATGTTCAATGCCTCAACCTCCCTAGGGCTGTGACCCTTTAGCACAGTTCCTCGGGTTGTGACCCCAACCATAAAATTATTTCATTGCTGCTTCATAGCTGTATTTTTGACTATTGTTATGAATCACAATATAAATATCTAATATGTGGGGTATCTGATATGTGACCGCTCAACGGGGTCACGACCCACAGCTTGCGAACCATTGCCTTAGTAGATAAAGTGATGATGTCAAACAAAAGGGGGAGTCAATTGTCAGAAAACAATAAATAATTCGACGTAAGTTCTGGGGTACAGTTGCAATGGGAAAACAAACCACATGGAAAGAAATCATCCAGAGTGAGGGGTCCCAGCTGCAGAAAGACAAATACGACCAGTGCCTTGCTCAGCCATCACCAGAGTGGCTTCCTCCTGCAGCGTGGGAGCAAGTGCAGAGACCCACGATCAGACATGCAGAGTGCTCAGGCCTGAATGGGATCTCCACATCAAATCCCTCCCCTCAGGCCTTCAGGAACCCCACAGACTGGGAAGTGCAAAGAGTGTAAGAGCCAATGGGGGTGGAAGACACCAAGAAAGCAAAACCCTCTGGATCAATAGGATCAATGCATATACGAACTCAGAGACTGAATCAGTACACACAGGGCCTGCCCAGGTGTACCCTAGGTCCTGTGTGTGTGTGTGTGTGTGTTATGGCTTCCAATCTGGCGTTTCGATGGAACCCTTGAGTGTGCGAAAGAGTGGGTCATTGGTTCTTGTGTCTTCTCTTTTCCTTCTGTTTGTTTTGTCCAGCTCTGATGTGATAGTTTCCGTATTATTATATTTTATTTTGTTATATTTTATTATAATCCTTTAGAAGCCTGTTCTCTAATGAGAGACAGAAAGGGGGTAGATCCAGACAGGATGGGAGTTAGGGAGGAACGGGGAAGAATAGAGGGAGGGAAAAATCTTAATCAGGACTTAATCAGGATACATTAAGTGGAGAAAAAATCCACTTTCGATAAAAGGAAAAAACAACATACACAGACACACACACACACACACACACACACACACACACACAGAGAGAGAGAGAGAGAGAGAGAGAGAGAGAGAGAGAGAGAGAGAGACCAAGCCACACATTTCCAAGATGCCTCCAAGAAGGCGGTATACTGATATGTGAAGATGTCGAGGTAGGAATGGTGGAAGGGAGTGTGTGTGTGATGTGCAGAAGGCCTGCAGGTCAGCGAGGGCAGCCAGCAGCCAGCAGCACCAAGGGGGAGACTGTAAAGAAAGAGGGATGCACTTCGAAGTGCTGGAGCTCCTGAGGGCGGGAGGAGCAAAAACAGCGTGGATGGGTGTAGTGGCAGGCAGGGAGATGCTTGCGGACACTACTTCTTGGCCCCACAGCCTGTGAAAGCACACCCACCAGAGAGACAGCTACGAGGGAGGCAGTATCCTCAGAACACAGCTTCCCTGATGAAATAAGCATGCAGAGAAGTCACTAATGCTGACCTGTGGTCCAGGGGTCACCATGGAGAGGCTACGGGAAGGGATGAGCAAAACAAGAAGAGGATGATCGTCCTTAGAATGAAGAGGTCCGAAGGCTGAATCTGTGTCACTGGGGAGATGACTGGCCAGGAGACACAGAGACACAGACAGAATTTGTCCTGCAGCCATGGAAACCCCAGGACAAGAACTGGCTCCCAGGGGCAACATGGGCTAATCACCCTCACCTCCTCAACAGCCCAAATCCTGACTGGGAACGCTTCACAGTTTCTCTGTTTCAACAGAGACTCGGTGTGGGGGGGGGGGGCGGCAGCAGCCACCACCACCACTTACACCGGCCACCAACACCACAAAAAACTGCTCTCTCTACGCATTTTCAGGAATTCACTGAGAGACACACTGAGTCCTAGCTCTGGGTAAACATCTCTCTGGAGGGGAGGGGGGACGCAGCCAATAGCTTTAGAGGGAGCATGCTTTCCTAACGACCCCTGTGGACCCCGACCCAGTGTGATAGGTGCTGGACAATGAGGCTTCTCCTCTGGCCCCAAGGGTGCCAACTCCCAGTACTTCTGCTTACTCTTCAATGCATACCTAGACACCATTGGTACCGAAGTCGTTTGTGCATCTGTTTGCCCCACACGCAATGTTGGCATGCTGCCTGTGTCTTTCTCCAGGTGACAGGCTCTGCTGAGTCTCCATAGCCAATGCCCCAGCAGGAACATCACAGGGACTTACCAACGAGAAGTGTGGGCCTGAGGACAGAGAATTGGGGGGGTGGGAGGGGGGCTTCTGAGGCCCCAGGTCAAACTTCTGGCTGGAATCTCTACACTCCATTCTTAATTAGCTCCTCGGTCAGACAGTTTTTCACTCTGATTGAAGAGGGTGCCTTAAATTTTTGGTTTGAATACTGCCTTTTAATTGCTTGTCTAGTGTTCAGGCAGTAATTAAAGCATTTTAATGGATAGGCGGCTGAGCAGGGAGCGGTGCACCTGGTTTTCTAGATAACGCTTATTTGGAAAAAGTTGGAAAAACATCAACTACCTCATTCTCATTTTCTCCCCCCCCCCTTCGCCCCACCCCGCCTCCTGCTTCACAAAAATATTTACTGCTTCCCTGCATGGAGGAATTTTTTAAAAACAAGGACGATGTATCTGGCCTCT